TATTACTTAAGATCATGTGTACACAGACACCTTTCATCCCTGCTCTCCCAGAGGTTAATAATGCTGCACTTAGGGGAGAATGCTGGTCTTTCATTGGTACTTCACACTTCCCATTAACATTTTGTGTAGATTAACCCTGAATTTTTTTCACCTCTGCACACTTCCCTTCTCTAAGTGCAAAACTCAGTGGGCTAAGCAAAGTTTCAGTGCTTCCTAATGTGCTGTAGGCAAAGTCAGCAGTGCCAGTTTGTACAACATATGGAGATTGTTCAAATAAATGCAGCTGTTGCAGTATGAGGCACAGAGAGCACCCACTTAAAAATCCTGTGGGGAGTGGCTGGCTGCAGGTTTGGATGATGCCAGGCAAACAGAGGCAGCACTCCAGAAGAGTGCTCTGTTTGGGGCTGTGGCAGAAACTTCAAGGACAGAATTTAATTATTAAGGAGCAAGACAGTTCTCAGATATTTCCTACTATGCATCAAATGAAGGGTTAGGATTATAGCCAGTTTAACATCAAAAGGGACTATGTTTTCAAGGAATTACCATAAATGCTAACAAATTTTGCTTAGATGTGGCCTCTTCACCTTCCTCAGTGTTTGCTGTCTTGTATTTAGTGGTATCTGTGGCACTCACTCTTCAAATCTGAAAAATGTCTGTTAAGATAGTTTAGAATTTGAGAATTACTTTTTCCACAGCAGCTTTGGGAAATTCCTCTGCTTATTAGTTGGAATGTTAGCTGCTTTGATTCTAAGTATTATCTTTTGTTAAATGATTTGAAGAGCAGCAAAGTACATCTGGCCAACATTACCCTTATGGATAGTTCCTGTTAATTTGCGTCTTCAGAAAGGATGCTGGGACACTACTACAACTGCACATGCGTCAGAACATTCTTTGAGAACAGATGCTCTTGTCATAGTGTTGGAATCCTAATCCTGCACTGCCTTTTCGCATGTTGTCTCCTCCGTTCTTTCTATAGGACGTAGTGGGATAGAAACCTAGACTGAGGAGTAGGAATTAAAAGGGTGGGGGGAAATGGTGTGTTTTGAGCTTGAATTAGGTTGGATGTGGCTGTACAAATGTTTGTGCCATTTCAAGTTAGGGAGGAGATATCTGGGTGAGGAGAGAAAGGGATTTGCCATCTGCAAGTCTGTGTGCACCCATGAGCAGTGGTGTCAAGTTTATGCTGACCAAGGACACAAAACTGACTTTGCTGGGCTTGGTGAAACCCCTGATTTTTACATTCAGCATTGTTTCAAATACAAATTATACAGAAAATTGTGTAGAAGTAGTCATAACTGCTAGTCTTAATAGTCTTCTGTATTTAATACCTTAACTTTTCAGAAATATGAACTGATATGACTTCCTTGCTACTGCTTCTTTTCTGTTTCTTTTGGATTTTGGCCTTATGCCTTAAATTGTACACCCAAAGCAGGCAGTAACACTTACTAGGATTTGTCTGATTTGTGAATTGAAGATACCATAGGCTTTTCATAAAGATGACTGAATGATACACATTTATTTTGTAGGTCAGAAGCCAGTTTTAACAGATGTTCAGGCAGAACTGGACAGAATTTCACGAAAACCTGAAATGGTCTCTCCTACATCATCTACATCTCCCACAGAAGGTGAAGCATCTTGAAGACACCAAATAAAACAAATTGTTCAGTTTTCTGGGATAACTCAAACTTGCCTCTGCCTCTTCCTTCAGTGACTGGAACTAAAGAACTGAAATATCTTTCAGAACACAAACCATCGATGTCTGTCTTTCTTTTATATGTGTTGCCCAACTTTACAAAAGGAAGCTATACAGATGAAGAATGGTTATCACATTGTGTAGAAGCACTGCCCACAGTGCAAAAGCAGTAAATTAATTTTTTTTTCTGGGTTTTGTTGGAAAGTCAGTGTAATTCTTTTAAATTGCAAGTATGTCCACTTAAGTGATAGGGGTTGCTTAGAGCAGGAAATCTGATACACACCACAGGCACTTAATTTATATTGATTTCCCAATCTGTTAGGTAAGTTAATATTATCTTAAATAGATTAACCTCTACATGAGAGAACTACTGCTAGTTTTTGAAAGAGAAAAATAATTGCACAAATCTGTAATAGCAACAAACTCCAGTTATACTTAAAAACTTAATTGGGAATATGGTCAAAAAAATCTGTTTAATCTCCACTGAAATTTACACTGCATTCAAAAACCCATGGAAAAATTCATTCCAGGTATAAGACTAAATTAGTGGCCAGTTTTTTTTTGTTTGTTTATTCCTCTTTGATTAATTGCGGACACTGAATAAAAGATGTATAAAGAAAAAGCAGAGGTTAAATGTACAGAATATCAGTATCCAGATTTGTCTATATATATATGGCTCAGCCTTAATGTCCCCCACTATGTTTCCCACACTACTTATGGTTTAAAATTGGTCATCAAAACTGTAATCAGTTAATAAAGTATTCTCTGCATTCAAATTTAAGTAACTTTCATTGAAGCCATGGTGTTCTTCATTTACAGTTATATCTAAGGATGTGGTATAAAACATCTTAAAACATACTTTTATATTTTTACCTCTCAGTGAATAACATCAGTGGCAGATATTTAAACTTCCTTAAAACATTGTTTCTGGAAAGAAGGGGATAAATCTGCAGTGTTTGTTCCTAGGAGTGAAACTAGCTTATCTGGCTTGGGTGGTTTGTGCTGCAATGTTTTCAGAGCACACTCATTAGACTAAGGATCCTGCTGCTGGCTGCAGTGTGTTGCCTCCGTAGAAGTTAACCAAGGTTAGGACTTTACAAGCTTTCAGTACACAAATGTTGAACATCACTTTTTCCTCTGTGAAATTTGTGGTTACTTTCTACTTAGAGCCTCAGACTAGGAAATGTAAAAGATATAACCTGATCAAATGATTGCCGAGACATTTTAATGAGTTCAGGTTTTCTACTTTTTTTTTTTTTAATCAGTCTTAATTTCTGTGATTAGTTAGAAATCTCTCTATTTTGAACATGGTGGTACTCTTCTTCTCCAGTTCCTGTAGTGGTTCTGGTGAATGGGTCAGGGTGGGAGGGACCACAGTGGGGTCATCTGGTCCAACCTCCCTGCTCAAGCAGGGCCATCCCAGAGCGCATGGCACAGGATTGTGTCCAGACAGTTATTAAATATCTCCAGTGAGGGAGGCTCCACAGTCACTCAGAGCAATCTGTTCAGTGAATAGTTATCTGCACAGTAAAAATGTTCTTCCTCACATTCCAGTGGAGCTTCCTGTGCATCACTTTCAGGCTGTTGCCTCATCCTATTGCTGGGCACCACCAAGAAGAGCCTGGCTCCATTGGCACCCCCACTTTAGATACTGGCAGACATTGATGAGGTCCCCCCTCAGCCATCTCTTCCAGAGGCTGAACAGGCCCAGCTCACTCAGCTTTTCCTTGTGAGAGGGATGCTCACTTCCCTTAATCATCTTTGTTCTCCTCCCTGGGACCTGATCCAGGAGCTCCATATCTCTTGTCCTGAGGAGCCCAAAACTGGACACAGCACTCCAGGTGTGGTCTCACTAGGACTGAGTAGAGGGTCTGGATAACCTGCCTTTACCTGACGTATCTCCATATTTTATAAATGCCTAAATTTATTTAAGAACAACATTTATCTTGTTGTGCACTTAGCTCCCTCAAGCATACTTGTTAAAATAGAAGATTGAAATGTGGACTGAGAAGCTTCAGTGGATATTCTTAAGTATATCTTTAACTGCAGTCCTTAAAATTTTGCTTAGGTCAACAATTCAGTAAAGGTGACACATGGGGAAATGCATGACCTGCTGATGAACAGCTGTATAGAATAAATTGTCTGGAAGAAAAAAATTAGGCTTCTAATTATGGATGCATGCCACACATCAGTATCAGAATAAGTTGTCTCTAGGTTCAGTATGTAAATTTGAAACTGAATTTGGAACATGCTTGAGAGAAAGGATCCTTTTCATCCTAATGATGAAAGCAGAACCTGTTCTCATACAACTGCAGTGGTATGTGTCATTAGGGTGAAACTGGATTTTAACGGCAACATTTTAAACTAGTGGATACTGTCCACATTTTTGAAAGACAACTCCTGTAGTCTCTAAGTTAGTTCATTTGAGCACCTGTCAAAGCACAAAACCCTTTATGAAGCTGCAAAACTGGCCATATAATGCATTAATAGCTATTACACCAGGTGCCCTTACTTGGGGAGGCTGGGACAGGGGAAAACCTTACAAATTACTCATTATAGTTTCACTTCTTAAAACAGATGTCACTTCTCTGTATTTGAAGCTTCTAAATATATTTTCCCTAAGCCCCTGTAAGTTCGGAGGTTTGTGATTGTTTTGATTTTTCAATTATTATTTACAAATGCATATTGACACAAAGACTGTCCCCTACCATGTCTTTTCATTCTAAAAGACTAAAGTAGCCTGCTTACCTCTTTCAAATTCTCTTAATGCTGTCACTTCCTATCTGCAGCCTGCTTATGCTGTCTGGGGGGAAAATTTACCACCAAAGGAAAACACCTGAGAATATTTCTGTGTAATCTGATGTCTTTGGCTTCTTGTTTCCCTCTGAAGAGACCAAGGCTCCTGGGCTGGTTGTTTATCCTCTTGAGCTGCAGTTCCCCCAGCTACTGCTTTGGTGAGAGCAGACAATTAAGATAGGATTCACCACAACTATCATGCAAAATTAATCTCTGTGACAGACGTCCCTTTTCATAAAAAGTAGTGCTAGTAAACTCTGCTCCCTGTTCTTCTTTCACCATGAAGTCAAGCACCAAACTAAATAAATTGTGTGAAACACTGAAGCTAATTTGGTAAGAATACTTTCTTGTTCTAGGCTGGAGAGGGGTTAGGTTTGGGATTACCCCAATTTTTGAAATAGTGACATTACGAATTACATTAATTTTGCTCTCAATCACCCTTCTGTGCCTTTAGTGCTGTTGGGTACAAAGTTTCAGACTAGCACATAAGATGCGGAAAGCAAAGAGATGATACAAGAAAAACGGCACAATTTTAATAACAATACTTTTAAAATTATTTTCAGTATGAACACTCAAAAAATGCTACAATATAAATCAACTAAATTCCTTTAGACTTTCAGGGCTACTTCAATGTAGACAAGTTGCTGATTAGACTGAAACTAAACTGTTTCAGGGGAATTTTGTAAATCTTCTCTTCCTCCTTCTCTACTCTGTTCCCACGTCAGTTCTTTTGAATATACTGGTTCTAATAAAGCTACTCTGCAAATTTTAATCTTGAAATTTTTGACTAAATGTCAAGTTTATTTCCAGGCAGGTCATATTTTTCAGCTGAAAATGGCAATCTCTGTAATGTGCACATGGCTTTTAGGTTTTATGGACTAGCTACTATATTAACCTTAAATTTCTAGTGATACTTCTGAAATGCAAGAGTTTCTGCCTGTTGGGCTGTAGTCTCTTCTTGGGGAGCAAACAGTTTGCAGTGGGACACCTGCAGCAGCAGAACTGTTGCCTATCAAATACCTCATGGCTTAATGCTTCTCTGTGCCATGCAGATGCATGCAGAAAACCACTGAGAAGAGCTGGCCTAAGCTTGCATTTGGAAAGTGTGGGATTTCATCTCTAGTGCCATAAGGGATACTTAGTAATAGTGTTAAAAATGCTAATTCTTCATCTTCAGCTGTTTAAAAATCACACATTCAAGCCTGTTTAGTGTGGTGTCACGGTTTGTGAAGTTCAGTTGCAATACTGAGCACAAAAATAGAGCCTCAGGAGCTAAAGAAAGTTCAGCAGATGCAACACATTCAAGTCTTCTCTGAGCTCATTTTTGCAGTACTTGGAATATTCCATTTGCTAGCTAATCATCCTGTGTTTACTTCATGTAATACATGGGGATAGTCTTGAACAGAATATGTTGAGATGCCCATGTGAGAACACTAAAATGAAGGAGGGAGTCATGCCTCAGACAGGCTGTCTTCAGTGAAGCTCCCTGAATTGTGCAGTAACACACACTTCTTCCTTTTCCTCATCACTCTTCCAGTGAAACTAAGTCTGTCTCAGTGGTTTGTGCTTCCAAGCTGCTTTCCCATTTTTCTACTTTCTTCTCCTTGCCTTCTGCAAGAAAAGCAAAAAACATTTTTGAAAGTGAGAAAAGGAGAACATGAATTCGTGAGGCCAGTGCTGCCAATTCTGAGTGCGAGGGACTCAGGCTTTAGTGTTGCATTGTAACACAGCACACAGAGCATGCCAAAGAGCCACTGGGGCTCACTTGATGAAAACAGCAATGCAGCTGTGTCCTGAAGCCCCCTTATTGCAGTAGCTGGCATTTACTCAACTGCTTCAAGGAACTCCAGTTACAGTTTTTGAAATTATTTCAACATGGGGGCAAGAAGTGGCAACTGTAATACAGCTATAGTGTGTACACTTGCCATCTCCTCTAGTGAGGGGGCTTTCTCCATTGGTATTGCTTTTTGGTCAGTATGGAGGGTGTCTTGGAGGAGATGTAATGAGGGAGAAAACTAGGTCACTCATCACTAATCTGCTTCCACTGATGTCTCTCTCTGTGCCTGGCTGACTGGAGATGTTACCACAGCTCAGCATCTAACCATGAGGTTGCTTCTCTGCCACCATGTCCTGCCTTTAGCTCTGCGCCTGCCGGTCCAGCAGAGGCTGTGGCAGGGTAAGAAAGACTTATTTTTCTGGAAAACTGTCAGGTGTAGCACATAACTAGAAGGAAATTAATAGCTGTATACCTGGAATGGAATTTCCATCACATCACAGTCAGTCAGTTACTGTTATTTGCATTAAACCCTATTGTTAATTACAGTAAATGTTGTTTTAATTACTTCTTTAAAGGAAAATTACTGTACTGGAAAGTTAGTGTGATAAAAAGGATGAAGAACACCTGCTGTACCTCTGTGAAGAACAGCATAATGTAATTCTTTAAGCATTTTCAAGATATCAACTCCTATGTTGTTGTCCAGTTTTCATTCCTTCTCTGTCACATGACCTTACAGTTCCCTAGCTTTGCTGTAGTTTTGCTTTTCCTTAGCCTCTTATAAAAAAATAAATAAACTTGCCTCAATAAGTTAGGCTTTAAATGGCAAGCTAATCTTTATCATTCATGCATCATTGATATGTATTTCCTGGAGAGGGCCTGAATGGGAAAACCATCTTAAAGACAGTAAAAACTGGAAAGAGATCACCATCTATTTTATCTTTTGTAGTCTTGTTTTGTGTTTCTGTGGCTCCTTGAAAAGCAGTATGTCCTCAAGACAATTGTCTTCAGTACTAACATCTGTATTCATAATCTAGCAATGCTGCATGAAAGCATTCTAAAGACTCATAAGGAAAGCTTTAGATGCTGCTGAACATCTTAAAAGACTGTACAACTGATTCTATCTTGGTTAAGTCCTGCCTCTTGTCAGACCACATTATATCCTAGACACACGCTTTGTGGCTTTGAGTTCTTCAGCCAGTTGTGAAATATTGTGAAGGAAGAAAAGAAAACAAGAAGGAAATTTCCTTCAGAAGAGAGATGCCAGCTTCTAAAATGTAATCTAATTTATAATGTACTAGTGTGAAAAAATGTAGTGAAGGCACTGGGAACTTATAAGCGGTAACAGCAAGTGTTCCTGACTACACCTACCTGCTCAGTCCTGTAGTCTGGGATGCTGCCAACAGAGCCATATTACACTCACCCTAATCCCAGGCAGAAACTGGGGCACACCCATGGTGATAACCTCATTTGTTTTAACGGAAACGCCTAAACCTTGGGAATCACAGGACTTGCCCTACTCATTTGCCTCCCAAGCCAATTCCTGCAGCCAAACATTGTTTTTGGCAGTGACAGGTCTGTATGATCCTGCCTAGGGACACTGTGGATTCCCCTGGATAGCGTTTTCTTACCAGGAGAAGGCACACGGCCTGCTGGTACACACTCAGCGGGGAGCGTGGCCTATTTATACACACTACAAAATAGATATATTTAGATATATATAGAGAGGTATATAGAGATAGATCTATACACTCTTTCAAGCAGGGAAAATCACTGTGCCTGCTCTTAACTGTGCTGTCACAGCCATTACATTACTCTAAACTAATTAATCTTGTCCATCATGACAGATTATGTAGTTCAATCTTGGCTCAACGGTAACATCACCTCTTTCATTCTAGATTCTGTCCTGCCTGAATGGTACCAGAAATAACTTCAGCTGCTTTGGTCTGGCCCATACTTCTGCATCTGCCTGGTTAAGGGGGTGTCCTGGCAGAGCCAAAAGTAGCCCCAGCCTCATGGGGCTCTGTAGCACACATGTTCCCACTGCACTGTGCATTTCCCAAAGAGAAGCAGTATCAAAAGAGCCTGACCTGTTCCCTAAGCAGGGAATATCTTCCTATACAGCTAATGTTAAGCAAGCAAATCTCCTCTTTTTTCAACCTGTAGCAATCTTCCATTTCCTTGAATTTAAACAAGTATCACTGAACTTGACTACAAAGGACTGTAATAACTCTGTGGGTAATACATCAATAATATAGAAGCAAACATAACACACCTTTGCTTACACATAAAAGGTTCGATCTACTCTTAGTAGGCAACAAAAGCTGACCTGGGCAAAGGTATGGGAGTATGTTAGAGGAGGTTTGGTGACATGAGTGTTTTCTCTCATTGACAACAAGGAATATCTTCAAAGACAATGATTCTTCTCCTGTACTCAGCACTGGTGAGGCCACACCTTGAGTGCTGTGTCCAGTTCGGGGCCTCTCAGTTCAGGGGAGACACTGAGGTGCTGGAACAAGCCCAGAGAAGGGCAGCTGAGCTGGTGAAGGCTCTGGAGCACAAGTCCTGTGAGGAACAGCTGAGGCAGCTTGGGTTGTTCCGCCTGGAGAAAAGGAAGTTCAGAGGTGACCTTACTGATATCTAGAACTGCCTGAAAGGAGGTTGTAGCACGATGGGAGTCGGGATCGTCTCTTAGACAACTCATGACAGGACAAGAGGGCATAGCCTCAAGCAGCAACCAGAGGAGGTTTAGGTTGGACATAAGGAGAAATTTCTTCACAGAGTGATTAGACACTGGAATGGGCTGCCCAAGGAGGTGACAGTCACCATCCCTTCAGGTGTTTAATGCAAGACTGGACGCAGCACTCAGTGCCATGGTCTGGTGCACACAGGCTGGATTCAAGGATCTCAGAGGGTTTTTCGAACCTAACTGATTACGTGAATGTAACCAGGGAAAGCTTTGGCTTAAACCCCTCTTTTGATACCGTAATCTCGTGTGACAAGTGAATACTCGCATAAACTTTACTTGCCAAGCCCCGGCTGGCGAACTGAGCCCAGCCCGGGCCTGAGGCGGCCCCGCGGTCCCTCACGCTCCCGCCCGCGGCCGCCAGGGGGAGCGCCCCGGTGCCGCCGGGACCAACGGCCGGTGCAACCGCAGCCCCCGGGGCCCCCGGGCTCCCCGGGGCTCTCGCCCTTCCCCTCCCGCCCGCCCGCCCGCCGCCCTTTTGCTTTCGGTTTTTCCCAGCTGACAGCCGGCTGCCCGGCCATGGAGAACCGCGCTGCCCACAAGACCACGGAACCGGAGGCGTCCCGCCGACTGCCGGCCTTTTTCTCGCGGTTTTTTCCAGCTGGGAATCGGCGGCCCGGCCCGTCCCGGGAAAACGCCTCCGCCAACAACGAGAGCAGGGCACCGGAGGCGTCCCGCCGACTGCCGCCCTCTCCCTTGCAGTTTTTCCCAGATGGCAGCCGGCGGCCCGGCCCGCCCAGAGGGAATGTCTCCGCCTACAACGCGACCCCGGAACCGGAGGCGGCCCGCCGACTGCCGCCCTTCTTCTCGCGGTTTTTTCCAGCTGGGAGCCGGCGGCCCGGCCCGCCCAGGGAGAGTGCCTCCGCCTACAAAAAGACCAGGGCAGCGGAGGCAAAGACGTCCCGCCTGCCGCCCTTTTTCTTTCGTTTTTTTCCCGCTGGCCGCCGGCGGCCCGGCCCGGCCATGGAGAACGGCGCAGTCTACAACGAGACCACGGAACCGGAGGCGAAGGCTGCCCGCCGCCCCCCCTTCGGCTGCACCCTGCGGCACCTGCGGGGGTGGCGGCTGCCGGTCAAGGTGGTCCAGACGGTGAGTGACCCCCTGCCGGGGCTCCCGCGGAGGGAGCGCCGCTGGCAGGATGGCCGCACCGGGCCGGGAAGAGACCTGCAGTCTCCCGGGGGTGGAGGTGCCCCGCTCTGGGATGGAAACGAGCGTGTTGTGAGGACCTTCGTCTTTACGAGGTCCCCTGCCGCTTAAAAAATAACTCCTCGGTGATCCGCAGCAGGCTGGGGAGATGGCCGCACACAGGCTTCGAGGGAATGGATTCTGCCCGTCGGAAACGGCTGGCTCCGCCGGGAGGGTGTCCTGACTTGTGGCGTGCCATGGGGTCACTGAAGTTGTGCAGACCTGTAACTCAGATGGAAAGCTGGCGTGGTGCCTTATAATGCTGGTTCAAAGGGGTGTATTGTGGGGAAGCGGTGGGAGTGTTTCTGCCTCCTGCCCGAGCTGCAGGAGTAGGTTCTGACATCGGATGGTGCCGGCGTCGTGTGCCCAAGGCTCGGTGCTGCAGCCGCCGTGGTCCAGCTACCTGCTGGCCTTAAACACCACCCGCCCCGGCTCAAAATCAGAGGGAAGCCTCGTAGGAAATGTAGTGCTGTTTTCTGAGGGCCGGGTTGGATGAAAACAGGAGTAAGAAGCCTTTGCTTGAACCTCACCATAGGGCAGTAGAACTGGGAAGGGCATTGCTGGGTCTTGAGCTCCAGACCTTCCTCTCTTGCTGCTCCTACAGCCCATTCTAAGCCTGTCAGTCTGTGCTGTCCATACTAAACTTAAGGAGCCTATTTCTTCCATGATTTGTGGTAGAAAATTGCACCAGAAACCTGTAATCGTGATGTCCCATTACATGAGACATCATGTCAGGCAGCCCTGGGCCCACCAGGAAATAAAAGGCTTATTTTCTGCCTTTTATACAAATTGTTGTTTCTGAATCAAGCAGTTGGGCTTCTGGTGCAAGGTTCTGTTTGGTGACAAGCTCTTCCAAAATGTACCAGTGTGACTGCTGATAAGGATGTGAGGAGCATCCTTATGTACTTACTAGCAGAGAATGAGTGAACCCGTGGTGGTAAAGGGTGGCTGATTGCAAATGTGTGTCAGCCTGCATTTTGCAGCCAACACAGTGGCATTTCAGTCAGATGTGTCATGCTTACAGGAATTGTAGGTGATTTCCAACCCTTTCTCGGTAACTTCACCATCGCAGAAAAGAGGACATTTGGGTTTTAAGCTTCATCTCACACACAGTCAAAACCTTCAACCAGAAATGTAATATTCCTTAGTGTTCATAAAGTGGTAACACTGCCAAAAATAAAGTTTTCTAAGAGTGCTTAAAAAAAATCACACCTAAGAATGCATTAAACAAATAAAATGGGACATAAACTTCTAATTCATCTGCTGGAGATTAATAAAGCAAGATCTGCTGGGTTCTGCTCCCTGACAAGCAGAATGTTTATATAAACAGGTTAATTGACTAAAATAAGTGATTATGTAGGCAAATTTACTGTTTTACCAAAGCCTTAAGATGTTTAATTATTTTAAATGCTTTCTAAGCAGAAAAAAAAGAAAAATTATCATTACCCTAAACAGGATGAATAGCTGCTTCACATGTTCTTAAATAAGTAGCAGTTTATGGCCTGATCCTATTAGTCAGTGAGAGGAAAAAGAAAATGGAGTTATAGTTATTCACCCTCCTAATTTCCAACATTTTCCCCTTCTTTTTTGTAACCTTTATCAAAATGCAGAGATCTTGAGGTCTGGGTCAAAACACTTTAAACAAGCCTCGGAAAGTCCTGAAGGTGGAAGCCTCTGTCCCTGCAGTAAGAAGGTTCCTGTTCTGGGAAAGTGTTGATTTTTGGAAATGTCGGTGATGGTCATTAACTTCTGGGTTTGTGTTACAACAGTGGTTGTTACTGGGATTATGCCCTGATAATTGCTTGTGTGGACTGCTAAACAGGGTGTTGCTATCAGAAAGTGGGCTCTGTTCATTGTAGAGGTGATCAAGGGTTTTATAAAACACTCTGAAATCATCTGCAGAAAAATGGCTTCTAGACCTAAGAAATACTTTCCTTCAGATGAATAATGGCATGTACTGTAACCGAAGCCAGTTCTTTTGAGCAAATAAAACAAGGAATATGTCACTGCTAGAAGTCACAAATTTGAGTGCCAAAAGGATGCTGGGAGGCATGTTATTGCACAGGTTTCTATTATGTTGTTGTTTTGTTTGTTTGTATTTTTTAATAGGTGGAATGTTTTTGTTAGTCCATGACTGGTTCAAATTCAGCACTAAGGTAAAGGGCACAGTGTGTATTGTGCCAAGATTGAGGTAGAAGCTAATTCTTACCTAAAGTAGGACAAGTTGTCATCAACTATTGTTTAACTTGAGTCAAAATGCCCTATCTGGAAAGGAAAATTGTAATTCAGGCTTAAAAATCAGCTCCTTTTTGAGCTGTTGATGTCCTGTAGCAGCCTGAATTGTGCAGACTTAATAGAGAATTAATATGTGCACCCATCTGAACTAGGAGATTTTGTACTGGAAATCCCACTGCTGAGCATCTTCACAAGATTGTTGGCAAGTTCATTGATGTGCTCTATTTTTGTAGCAATTAGTTTGTTAAATTCTTTTGTAGCAGTTCACTTGTTAAATCTTCTTTATAAAATTGGCATTTGTTTAGAAACTTCCAACAGTAATGTCAGTATCAATTAATAATTTCTTGCTGGTACGAGACAGACGAAGATGTTTAATTTCTGATGTACATACAGACAGTACTGATAACAAAATTTAAAAATCCAAAACAACTGCTTTTCCAGCAATACTTTTGGTATTTAAACTTTTTTGGTGGTAGTAGGACAACAGAGGAATCCCTTTTTTTCCTGATCGTGATATCAAACAGCAAGTTAAGAAACCCAAGCAGAGCTCTCTGGCATCTCATAAATGTGCTGCTGATACATTTACTGAATCAAAGCACTTACTGAAAGTTCTTCAAGCCAACTTTTTTATTTTTAAATTGATGTACCCTATTTTATTACTCAAATTATTAATTAAAAAATCGAATGTTGACTTGGACAAGTCCCACACAGGATTCTACTTGGTAAATCTCAATTATTTGACACTGAACCCTTTATAACTGCTCTTTGAGTGGGATTTTTTTTTCAGCTTGTTTGTACACTCAGTGGAGAAGCTTTTTTCATCTATTTAGATCATATGGCTATCTGGACATATACTTTCTTTTAAGGACAGGTTTATTTTCTTTCTGTTCTGTTTCAACCCAAGGTGAAAGTGATGACTTGCTGTTCCCAGTGCTTATAAAACAAGATAAGTTTTTATGTACAGTGCTATCTCACAGCTGACCTAGTGAAAAATGTGAAATTGAAAGTCATTGGATGCAGCTATAAGCTCAAGTTTAGAAATAAAAAAAAAAAACAAAAACAAACAAACAAACAAAAAAAAACCCCAAAAAAACCCAAACCACAAAAACTGTAAAGTCAGAGTTTAAAACATTCCCAGTCTGACACTGTAGTTCAGTGGTTTAGGTGCAAGGGCTGCTGAGAAGTTTGTGTTGCCAGCCACTGTGGGAGAGAAAGGAAGCATGTGGAGGCCTGATAGTAATATTGATGTTTCCCAGCTCCCATTCTTTCTGAGCTCCTGTTTACTTTATATTGTTGCATTTCCAAAACGTGGTTCTCTGAAGTTCTTCTGAGACCTGGCATAGTAAGGGGAATTTACACTTCCTACTGCTAAACTGTTGTTCTTGTTTTTACTGTGAGAAAACTGAAACCAAAAACTGTTGGTTATTTTCCAAGAACAATTCTGAAATTCTGAATCTTAAATTTATTTTTTTTTTTAAAAACAAAGAACTGTTGACCTCTTCATTGCCCACATACTCTTACTAAAAATATGATCATCATTCTCATATCAGTCTCAATTTTATGATCCAGGCTGATTCCTGCTCATGGTTTTGTTTCAATTTGGTGAACTCCTTACTGCAAAGATCTCTGAAGCTATGCCATGGGATGAAGGAAGTAATGCTATTTATGGGATGAAGGAAACTAGCAAGAGTGGCCAAAATAAGTGAACAGTTAAATAAAGCAATATTCTTTATTGTACAATAAAACAGTAGAAAATCCACCAGCAGGGATATGGTGACTGTATAGGAAGTAAGTTACATTGTTTTCTCAAAACACACTGTGGCAGGAAGGTGAAGATAAACCTCTGCATGAATTAAACATTTCCTGCATAGCTTGAACATAGTGTAAACTTTCAGTTCCTACAAGAGCAGTGGAGCTTCCATCATTACTGGGTCACAAGCATGTGAGTGTTGGGTTCATGGACTTTCTCTGAAGCTTTATCAAGTGACGTAACATCAGCTGTGAACTTTTAGGGAGGTAGCTGATTGTGTCAGGGCTGTCCAGTTTCCCCCACTGCCCTGAACCCAAATACATTCAGAACTGATTGCAACTGTATGTAGTAAGCAGCAGCATTTTGCAGAATGTGTATTCTCCCTTCTGCTTCAAACTGGCAGTTGCACAAACCCACAAAGCAGGAATCTTGTCTGTCTAATCAAGAAGCCTCTGTTTTTTGCTGTGTGCTCAGCTTACCTGAGTGTATTTTATGGACCACCTTAACAGCCAAGTGTAAACCATGTCATTGTATAATTATTTCTGTCTGTATGAATATAGTGCAAAGCTTGAAATTTTTTGTAGATTGAGAATTTTTGTCACAGCTAGCTTATTAATGTTCATATCAGAGGTGTCTGTTTGTTGAAGATGTTAGAGACTTGATCCAATTCAAGCATGTTATTTGTTTGCAGATTTTCTCTTTTGTGGCTGTTGTTTGTGAAGAAATTGTGGACTATTGCATCACTTGTAGTGGACTTTACTTCTTTGAATTCACAAGCTGCAGTGCCTTTCTTTTGAGCCTCCTGATTCTGTATGTGTATTGCACTAATTTGTATGAATCACTGGGGGAAGATAAAGTGCAGAAACTGGTAAGAAAACTTTTTTTTAAAAAACAAACCATTTTTTCTAAGTGCATAAAGTCTGCTGTGGAGTAAAAAGCCTATGCAAAATGAATCTCCTTTTCTTCTCCATGTAAAAGGTAGATTAAAGTATCTTATAGTTTAAAAATGAACCAACTTTGAGAGTTTATACTGGTATCTTTCTCAAAGCTGGCTACCTGCAGGATTTTAGGACTTGTGTGGAAAAGTCTTTCCATTAATGTACATTAGTACATTAATGGTACTAATACTACAGCATAGCCATCGCAGATCTGTATACGTATGGAATATAGTTTACTACCAGCATGATGCTTGCAATAAAAACAAAAATTTAAAAAGTTTACCCTATCTCCTTTTTGGCAATAATCATAACTCATTACAGTTTATGGCTTTATACTTCAGAAGATCCAGCAGTGGGAGAAAGTTGCTCTGTAAAGTCAGCAAGAGCATTATACCATCTCACAAGTGTCCCTTCCTATGTACCTTCAGAACAAACAGTAGTGTCTTTATGTGAGGGTACAGATAAGGGAGTGTAGTAAAAGGTTTGAATGAGCACGTTTACTTACAGTTTTCTGATTGCTTAAATGTTTTACATAAGGAATAAAGTTACCATAGTTGTCCTGAGCTTGAATTTGATGGTGAAAAAAGGTTAGATGAAATTAATTAAATATTTTAAAAATACAAAAACAGGGCAGACTCCTTTAAATAGCTGATAATGTTGAATGTCATTTAGAATACAGTTGTAAAATGTATTTTCTGAAGCTTCCACTAGCATCAAAGTATCAAAACATAAATTCACAGGCAGGTTAACTCAGCTGTTATGTTTGTTCTTTTTAGGTAACCTATCTACAGTTAAATGATATATGTTTTTTTATATATATTTTCAGAATTTTTGGGCTGTGCCACTCATAGGGGCCTGTTTTCTGTTAGCAACAATAGTGTTTTTTGCAACCAACGCTGACTCTGCTGTTGAAATTGCTGCATGTGTAAGTCTTAAAATGGCAAGATTTACTTTGTATTTATCTGGTATGTTATTTGTATGTTAATTTCTCTGTCCTTTAAACTTCACTCAATTTGCAGAGAAGAAACTGGGAAATGGATTCCATGCATTGTGATGTTTCAGGAGGAATTTGCTATAGCAGATCTTCCAGAAACTTACCACAGGAAATCCAAAGAGCTGGCATTCCTCAGGATTTCGGGAAAGCTCTCTGTGCCCTTGCAGCTCCCCACCTTTTTCATGCTGCCTTGGATTTGTATTATTTCCTATCATCTCTTGCTGTTCAACACTGTAATCTCTTGAAGCTTGCCCAGTTCTCTGATACACTACTCCTGAAATTTCTGGTTTTCTTCAACTGTCCTTTCATAATGTCACCCCCTCACAAAGTCAGAAATCCTGTCTTTTGCTTTTACAGAGCAAATGTGGGCAGCACTGACTTGCACAACTGCAGTAAGAGCACCAGTTTCCTCAGTGACAGAAATAGTAGAGCAACAGGGCATTCATCTCCTAGGGAACACTCAGGGCAAGGCACTAAAGGGGCTTTTGGAATGCTGTAGATATAATAATTCCCTAGTCATTTGAATACTTCTTTTGAGTAACCTTGGAATTGTGAACATGTGGGTTTAAAAGATCAAATTCTTGAATGAGAAAAAATGATTTGGAAAAGAAAGGAAGATAATTCTGTTCCATGGCAGCATCAGCTATTAGAGATACACACTTTTGTGTAGTCATCTTATGTGATGTAGATCTATTTAGACCTAACAGTTTGAGCATAAATCAGGTGTCAGCTTTGGTTTTTTTTGTTTTTTTTCCTCTCATACAGAAAAAAAATTCTACTGTGATTTAATACTTATTAATGTCAAATTACTTTGGTCCAAAGCAGTTGTGTATAATTTAGGTAGAGTTGGAATAATGCATATGTTTCTTTCCTTGTTTGAAAAAAGCTGCCTTCTCCTTATCACTTCTCATCTTGCCATGACTGGTAACAAAATATCATTCACAAAATGTCATTTCATTCTCCCTTGCTGACACAGGCTCTGCAGATCTTCTCTTCCTTCACCTTCTGTGTGTTATTCTTCTTCATTTACTCTCATTAATCAGCAGCCCTCTCTTGGATAAGTAGTCTGCTATATGCTGTGCTACTTTAGTAACTGATTTTGGCAATGCAACTAATATACTTTTGCTGTTAAAGGTTGATTAGAACACAGTATGAGGTTCACACTTGATTAAAAAAATGAAAACTGTAAAAACTTCTGCAATGAATGTGCTAGAATTATGATTTCTGATCTGTGTCTAATTTGAATGGAACTATCAATTTAGGGAGGACTGTAATCTTAATAGTATAAGCATTATTAATGTATATAAAATGGTACAGTGAATCTTTCCAAACAATGTTAGAATGCTATTACTCTTTATGCATTTTAAAATCACATATTTCTGTCCTTTTCACAGGTATTTGGATGTTTTGCAAGTTTTGCCTTTGCAGCTGAATTTGGTACAGAGATCTATCTCAAGCGAAAACAAAACATTGGTGGACGCCCTGAAAATCCTGGTAACACTCCGAGTGCCACAGAAAATCAGCCATTGAATAAACGAAGCTAACTTCCTGAAATTGTTTCTTTTTTTCTTTTTTTTTTTTTTAATTGGAGCAAACAAAAATGAACTTTCACTGCACTGTAGATCACAACTTCTGTTCCTTTGTTCTAGTCAATTTTGTTTGCATTGCTCATCACAAATTTTAAGGATTCTTGGTCAGATAATGGCATCTTGAGCATCATGTTCTAAGGTAACTGGTGTTGCCACCTGCTGGGGTGACAGGCACTGAAAAACCTTGGGTCTAAGCAGAATAACTTCAGGACAGCAGTGTGCTGATTTGATTTTGACAGATATGACTAATAAAGGTTAATGTCTGAGGCATAAATTCTGAGCTATAACCTAAAGATATTTCCTGGTTAAATGGACCAGATGTTTCTGTTATGAGTTAAAAATTAGCACAGCAGAATTAATTTTATACTTCCTGGTCAAACTGAATGCAAAAGGGATACCTAACTGGAATTTAGAGGAATGTTTATCATTAAGTAAGGGGTTTTGGGTTGTTTTTCCTATTCCTATGTCTCAGTTCTGTCTGTGGAGATCAGTTTAATGGTATAGTGACTGTAGGAGGTTTATGGGGAAGGTAATATAAATGGTATATTGAGGAGACAGTTTTACACCCCATGATTGTCAAAGTTTGCACTTGTATGCCAGAATCTTCTTTCACATGGTTTTGAAAGCTATAACAGTTGCAGGAAGAAACTTGAAAAGCCAGCAGTGAGAGGAATAAGATAAAGTATTTTGCATGGAGCAACCCCAGAAGTAGCAATCTGAGTAAGGAAAGAACCTTACAGCATGTTGATTCTACCCTGATGAGTATTACTTGCAATGTTAATACCATATGCAGCTTGTTTATGTGTAGATAATGCTAACTTTTGCCAGAATGGTTTTGAGCCTCACCATTTTCTGTGTTTATAAATATTGCAGTCGCTTGAGACTCCTTGCTGCTGACTAGCTCAGCTGGTAAACAGGTAAATAAGCACTTGTCCCCTTGGTTTGTTTTGCAAGCAACAGTCTGCAGGACTGCAAGGAACACTATTGATGGGACATGTATCTATCGGACAAGTGACGGTTGTGTCACACCAGATGTTGATGGCTGTGAAAGAAATGAAGTGCTAAAAAAGTATTTTTCTGATGTCTGAGGTAAAAGCAAGACTGCTCTGCCTCTCTTAAGAGGAAAGCCTTCAAAAGCAGGGCAAATTACTGTAAGCCAGGAGATATTCTAAAATGCCAAAGCAAATGAGAAAAAGCTGACAATGTTTGAGTGCTTGAGACATTTGCCGTGTCTCCCGTGTTTGCAGGCGTTAACTGCATTTCACTGATATCCCAATCTGGCATGTTCCCAGTCCTGTAACCTGTTGTGGCAGCACTGAGACCAATCCCCCCAGAAACTGGCTGAGCTGTATTTGGGAAAGGAAGAGGAAGCTGTTTTAAGACAAAGGATTGTAATAGCAAGTCAAAGTTGGTTCTTTTCCCATTGCTGCCATTTTCTGGTGGGTGTGATTTTGTGATGTTCTCTCTCTCTATAGCTTGAGACTTAAGACTAACACTACACTTTACCTGGAGGATGTAAAATTCTGCCAGGTGGTGTGAAGCACCAAGTTAAAGCCACAGTTTGGTTTTAGAGGAGATACTTTCCTTCATAGAATTTTCTGTGTTTTAAAGAAGAAATGCTCTTTGGACTGTTTGGGTTTTTTTTTTTTTCCCTTGTATTTATTAGTGTCTGTGTGCACTAAAATCTGATTTCAATCAGTGCTTGCTGTAGCTGTCTCTGATAACTGAGTAGATTAGGGATTTTGGTTTACAAGCAGTGTTACTGGTGATACAAAATATCCATAATGAGAAATATCTCCTCCATGATCTGCAATGTCTTACTCTGCGGACTGTGCTAGAATAATTAACATTACAACAGGCTTGTTTTGGTTTATTTTTATTGCCTAGAGTCCTGCTGAATTTTTTCCACATCAAAATGTCTATAGTCTTTAAATCTTCATCTGTAATTGGTAGCTTACATATAGTGTAAGAGCAACACTGTGCTGCTAAGTATTTATTAAGCAATGCAGGACTGTGAATGGACTTTTATCTTGAGGTAATTTCTCCTGTTATTTTTCTCAGCCTGAAGGTAAGTTTTCCCAGCCTGAAGCTGGGTTTTGGTTGGTTTTTTTCTTACAGGTTTTTCCCCACCTAAGTAATGTGTTACTGATGTCCATTCCTGGAGATACAGAAAGGGATCTATAAAGTTATCTCTTGGCCTTGGCAGTTTACCTGGCCATAGTCTGTCACACAGTAGTTAAATACTGGGAGGAAGTCACAGAATGGTTATAGGTTTAAGGCAGTTGCCTAAAATGTTCCTTCCAAACAAGTTGTTGGCTAACATGTATGATAGTGCTGTTAATCCTTGCACCTCATAAGGTGTTTTTGCTGTTTTAAAATAGTTGAGAAGCAGATTTGCGTGTGTGTGCGCTGTTTTCTGCTTCTGTGAGGTTATTTTTTTAACAGCTTTATCAGCTTCCTATATCCTAGCTTTCCTTATCACTCCTAGGTCGTCTGCCCTCCCAGTCTAGGTGGGAGAGATGCTTCCTTGCTGCAGTGACTGAGCAGACTGGTCTGCAGTCTTGACATGCTCCTTTGATGCCTGTGGTGTCAGATGCTGGCTTTAAATGTCTGTCTCTTAATTAGACTGATCCTAGAGAATGCTGTTGGAGCTGGATTAAATGTCTGGTTCTTCAGGAGCTCTGTGTGTATGGCTGGATGCCTCTTACCCCTCGTGCTCTGTCAGCAAAGCCCTTTGCTTGTTTCCCAGCCTGCTTCTGATGCAATCAGCCAACCTTATTTAAACCAGCTACTTAAATTGCTTCCATTAATGTGGTTGATTTTGGTTTAAGCAGATTAGGGATTGTTCAGGAGAGTGATAGGAGCTCTGGTAGAAGTGCTGTTAGATACAATGCCTCAAATTTCTTCTGTTGGCAAAATGAACATCTCTGTACATCATAACTGGTAGTAAAGCCTGTTGGAAAGAAGCAGTTGGCCTAGTATATCTGTCTGGGGATTGTCTTCTCCATTCTTCACCACAGTGCTTGGCAGCGGTGTTGGAGCCCACTTGGACACTCAGCTTTGGTGTTTTCCAGTGAACCTGTCAAGGTTAAGGCTCTGTAGCCATTTCGAGGCTTTTTTGCAGTGCCTTGAGAATCGGTGCAGAGGATTTTGCAGGATACGTGAGGACTTGTCCAGTGGCTGGACTGTGAGCTTCTGCTCTGAGGATCTGTACTGGGCATTGCTTAGATTGGGAATGTTAATTTTTGTGTTTGATGTTCAGCCCACATTAAAATCACAGTGCTACCAGTGTCCTTTGGTTCTGCATATGGGAAGGAATTGTGCCTTACTGCCTGTACCCTGTGCTTGAAAAGAGCAGGGAAGGGTTACAGGTGAGTTCTACCTTTGCACCTTCCAACCTGAAAGAGCAGTGAGCAATCTCATGCAATTCTCAGAGCTCAGCAAAGGATGTTTTTTGTGCAATGACTGTCGTGGTGATTCTTGTTCAAATTTGTGCAATAAAATACCAAGCTTTCTACATGGAAGGGAAATTCTTAGTGAAATTTTCAAAGATTCTATAAAATTGTAGCAAATAAAGATGCTGATTGTGCCTTTAGAATGGAACTAATCTTTTTTTTAGTCTATTGCTGTAAACATAAGCAGCTCTCTGGATATTAAATTTTATGCTGGACAGAGCTGTATGTCGCTTTTAATGCCTATAAGAATTTAAGTGATTTTTAATTATTATTAAAGTGGGATGAGAATACATTAATGTTGTATATATTTCCAGTGTTACATTGAATTTCTATCTAACTAATTTTTAAATGCTTAAATATTTTTTTATTATTCTAAACCTGTGATCTTTTTTTAATACATTATGTTTTCCTGATCTGAGGAACTTTATACAATATTTTGTAATCATTTTTTAAAATAAAGGTTTAGTAAATAAGTGTTTCTTGGTTTTGCTATGATTTGTTGTTGCTATGTACTTCTCCCAAAACCAACCATAGGAAATAACATCATTCTTTTGTTCCTGGTTTGGAGGAAAGAGCTTGCATTGTGTTTGCCTGTTCCTGGGGAAGAGGGTCCAACTGGCTGGATATTCTCACTAGAAGTTCCCAGGAAAAAAGATCTGATAAGGTCAGTATTGCCCCTGACCACAGGGTCCAGCCTAAGTAGTTTGCAGCAGCTTTTACATGTGGTCTATAAGTTACTGTGAGAAGCAAAATCAGGTGCTGCTTCCTATTGTCTTGATTACATGGAACTGAAAAAATAAAGGGGCAGACTTGCTAAAAGAAGGAGCACAACCTAACAAAAGGTGTTGAGAGCAAATAATTTATTCTGCTGTAGAAAAACACAGGTCACTGACTTCCTTGGTTGAGGGAGAGCCGCTTGATCTTTAAAAATTGTTTGGCTGATTGTCAGTAGTAGGAGGTGAGGAAATGGAAGCAAACCTGCATGTTTTGTTTTTTGGCAGGGGAGCACTTTTTTGTTTCATAGTCCTACAGATTACTTATTACCTGGTGGTCATCTTGTACACAGGAGGAGAATGACACTTCCTTCATTGTTGGCACAGAAACTGGAATGCCACAGAAATTGGAATGCCACAGTATACTTTTCTTTATTTTGTAACATGAAAAGATGAAATAATTTCAAAGATGAAATTGTCTCCTTGGTGAAGTTGCCAGAGATGAGTGTAATTGTAAGGACTCAAAAGGGAAAAAGGTCTCAAATGGTTTTAATTACCTAGATGCAAGAAAACAATCAAGGCAAAATTTGTATTAGAAATGTATGCCAGTGGTGGATTTTACACCTTGAGAAAATAACTCAGAAATACTAGATTTAATAATTTGAGGCTTGACCATACATGTTATGTTAAGTCATGTTATTGCTAGAATCACAATAACTCTTTTCTCAGGAGCCTAATCCAAGTAGGTTCACTGTAAATGACCAGAATGTAGTGCAGCAAGGCAGAATATGGGCTGGTAGCACGCAGCTTTCCTTTGTGAGTGCACGGGCATCACCTGGTCACTCTGTGCATCCCTCAGTCAAGGCACAGATGTGTTTCCTTGCTTTAGGATGGTTTTTCTCCTTGCAGGGAGGAGCAGGACCAGCTGTCTGCTCTCTCACACAGCTGTGGTCATGCAGGAGCCAAGCGAGGGTCACTGCTTGGCTGGGCTTTGGGCGTGGCTGCCCCTTGGATTCGGAATGGCTATTCTTAGCCCGCGGAAGGAAGCACAGGGAAGGGCAGAAATGTATTTTGCCTTGTTCCTGCCATCTGCACAGGAACTCGCCGACAAGCTGCAGGAGGGAAGGTTGTCCACAAGAGGGCAAAGATGATCGTGGGATCATCCGTCCTCTTCACACCTGTATTTCCAGTGGGATTGAAGCCCCATGTCCCTCTATTGTCAATGTGGCTATAAATTGAACTGTGCATTTTAGGGGTACTATTTCCTTTAATTTTCTTATTTCTCAATATGTAGCTTGAAGTATTTTTGGCAATGTAATCTCATCAGTATTGTCCCAGGGAGATACTTTGCCTGAGCAGTTTGAAAGGGTTTTACTTGCATTACTTGTGTTTTGTAACCTGCCAATAAATGTTTTTAAAATTCAAGTCGAGCTTCAGCTGCATGACAGCACCTGCACTTAAAACACTGCACTGCAGTCTTGGAGAACTTTGTGGTCTGTACTATGGTGTGGTTTTCAATGAAAGGTCTGTGGATCACAGGTGGGAGAGAATGGAATGGGCCATACCTGTGCATTTCCTGGACTCTTAAGAAGTTAAATGAGGGAAGCTTATTATCCAAAAATGTAAATTATGCATGCTGGAAAAAAATCAGGGCCCACAAACAGAAATGTTGGCAACCATAGCTGTAAAGCGTGCCAGACGGGACTTCTTGCAGTTCCAGTCATCTCCAGGCATCCCAGTGAAACTTGCTTTGACCAGCCCACGTGCCCTGAGCACTTACTCTGTTTCTCATGACCTATTATCTCTTGGCTGAATTATTGGTGGGAAAATAAACCAGACTTGGCTGTTTAGAAGTTGGCAAGTCCTGAGGTGAGAGTCGGGCTTCATGAGGAGGTGACAGCACATTCTTCTGTAGCATGACACATATGGAGCCAGCAAATCCCCAGTCAGGTATACACTGCTTGATGTGCTGCATGGAGGCAGGCACTGTTCTGCAGTGCTAAGCTTGGGATGTATGTCAGAGCTCTCTTTTTAGTCCTCACTTGGACTTAAGGAAGCATAACATGGTAAGACAAAAAGGATGACAACTTTTCTGTGACCATATGCTCTACCCTTGCTTAGTGACTGGTGCAATGTTGCTCAAAATAATGGCCTCCTTTTAACTACTTCCTTTGCACCAGCTGTTCCTCTCCCAGAAATAGCAGTGCAGACAAGATTCTGAAATCCCTGCTCATGTTGAGGTCCAGGTGAGGAAGGGATGGTTAGTTAATTGTTCTGTGGACTCTGCACTCCACTAACCAAAGGTGTGGAGCTGCTGTCCCGAGGTGAGCAGCAAGGCATCCTCAACAAGGAGGATAGACTCATCACTCCTATTTTCATTAACACCCACTTTCAGTCTCCTTTTCCTGCCTGCTCAGTTTCAAATGCTTCAGAGCACTGGGTTTTGATACTCAAATTGCTAAAGCCCTGCTTCCCATTCCTCTATCTCAAAGCAAAACTAAACCTCCCTATCAGTGCAACTCATAGCAACAAGAGCTTTGGCTAAATCTCTGCCTGCTAGTTTCTCAAAACAGCTGGGATAAGAGACTGTGGAGGCCTTTCTGAGAGGGTACAATACAGCTCTAGAAATAACGGGCTCATTAATGTAAGCCTGTTTTCTGCCTCATCGTCCTTTTGCTCAGAAAGGCTTGTTTTGAGAATGAACCAATGTTGTCCTTGACTTGATACAGTTTTGTTTTTTTTTAATTGTAAATGCTTGTTTCTGGCAATTGTGCATCTCATTTGCGGGTAACAAGGGCATAATTATTCAGCTCTCATGCATCACAAACTGCTGAGCATGAGGTATTAATGGAGTGCTTTGCTGCCACCATAGCTTAATAGCTACAGCTGCAGCATTGTGCAGAGTTTGGCAGAGGTTCATGCAAAAGGGGGGTGCAGATCATTAAGCTTTATGTTAAGAGTGATTTACAGATGTAGCAATAACAGTAGACTATGCTATACAGACAAAGCACTTCTGATGTAAAAGGAGCTGTTACACTAGCAGAGCTGTAATTCATACTAGTGGTGGTACAAAGCCCCCAGCACTAGTCCACCTCATATAACCCCCGCTAATCATAATAAAAGAAAGTTGTATTAGTGTAATTGTGTGTGTGTGCTGGCAGGGGGAGGAGGGGAATCATACCCTGCCATCACAGCTGGCTTGCAGATGTAATAGAAGGAAGCTGCAAATGGGTGCTTTTGGCTAGCTGCAGGCTTTGAGGTGGTATCAAATCCCTAGCCTGGTCCCTTTCTATCCACCCAGCTACAGCACCAGCTCTATTATGTGCTGAGATGCAAGTGGTGGAAGTAAAGGTGAGTGTTGCCCCAGCAGCACATGGGAAGGTAAAAGCAGTGTCTCTTCAGCTTCACCCTGAGATGTTCCAGCTGAGAGGCCAAGCTGCCCTGGTAGCTGATGGAGGAAGAGGCACATCTAGAGGGTGAATCAGAGGGGAAGGGTAACTCCTGCACTCTGACTCGCTGCTATGATTCACTCTTGCCCTTCTCTTCCTTCATCAGATGTGCAGGGGAGAGTGGCTGAGTATTAAGGCTAGTCCCATGCAAATGTTCTCCAAGATACACCGTGCTTTTTTCTGGGACAATGATATTTACTCTCTTTGAGCTGTAAAAGTAGTGCAGAATGAGTGCTGTCTCTAATTTCCTAGTCTGACCTTGTATGCTGAAGGGTTATATGTCTCAAGTCTACACCTATGCAGTCTTCTTCCCCACATTCCAGTTCCTTCTTGTTATAATTCCTCCTGTGCTAAGAAGGCTGCCTGTGTTGCTCTTCCTACACAGGTGCAAACATGTAAGAAAAGAACAAGTGGTTCAGACATACTTAATTCAGCAATGACTGTCCATTAGTGGCCTGGGGATATTCCCCTCTGCGGGGAGGAATCCCCACCATGCTACATAGCTGCCACATCATTCACACACATGCCAGCTCTGCCTCAAGAGCTGGTGTGTTCTTGTCTTTCTGGGAGCCCCTTCAGCACCCACAGAAACACACAGGTGCTTCCTTCACCCCCACACAGGACTATTTTTCTACACATACCCACAGAAGCAAGCACAGAACACTCAGCCTGCTCCTTCTGTGGTATTCCCTCCTTCCCAGGTGCTTGGCTTGCTGCACAGTTGCCTGCCCGCCTTTGCATGGCCCCAGCTGTCTGGAGTCCCCTGGGAGAATGGCTCTGAAGTGACAATGTGACTGTGCCTCTGTGCACCAGGCAGGGCTGAAATCATTGCAGGGCCAGGCAGAGTAACCTGGGGGCTTTGCAGCACCAAGTGTTGGCAGCAGGACACCTGGGCATTCCTGGGTTACATCACACTGCAGGCAGAACTTCTTATCACTGTGAGGAGAGCAGGACTTCTGCTCTTTGTCTTAGACTTTAGAGGTTGCTGGTTGCTGTTTATTCCTTTCAAGTGGTTGCTCTGTGTCTTGTTATTCTAGATCTGCAAACATCTAAAGAGCAAGAAATGAAATTGATACAATCTTGGGCACTCTGAATTCAAATCAGTCTAAGCCAGGATTATCAAAAATTAATTTTAATTGAAGCAAATTTATCTATGCCCTAATAATTTTTTTCTGTTTTAAAAGTGCAGGCCTTTATGACTGGCTAGTGCTCTGAAGGACATACTTCAACCAAACACACATCTCACTTGAAAGCCAGCATTTGCCCAGCAACAAAACTGCTTTTGAAAATACTGTTGTGCCTTTCTGTAATGCTGTAATTCAGCAATATGGAAAAACCAGGTGCTGCTGGAGGTGGTGTCATACTCAGGAGGAGATATAAAAATGCTAATCCAAGGAACAGCACTGTTCTGAGCTGTTCCCTCAGGAAAAGTAGTGCTGCTACTCTGCAGTGACCCCTTGATTTTAGCTTCTTCATCTGCACTTTCTCTTTTAGGTCTGCCCTTATTTCTTACCATCACCACACAAAAAGTCAAGGTCTCTCACAGCCTCCTTTTCACGAGCCCTCCCTATGGTACTACTGTCCCCTGCAGCACATTATAAGCAGCCACAGTCAAACCGGGCTTTTGACTATCCAACACTGGAATCTTAAAGCTAAGCTTTCACAGCACTAAGCCAGAACAATGCCAAGGATTTTGGTATCTAAATTCTGCCTCCCTGTAAAACTGAAAGCTCATCTTGGCAGCCACCTTATCCCTGAGGCAGGTAACTTCTGTGATGCTGCAACTCTTCTAATTATTGTTTTCTTCTTCTTCCCTTGTTTTTTTCTTTTTTTTTTTTTTTTTTTTTTTTAACTTTCAGTCTTCCTACCTGTGAAGTGCTGCTTCTGGGCATGGCCAGACAGCTTTGCTTTCACAGCTCAGGCAGAGGTTTGGTAAAGGGCAAAAAGCATACAGACTTTTTTTTTTTTTTTTTTTTTTTGCCAACTGCCCCAAGGTAGAGGGACTGGTTCAGGCACGTGATGAGGGTTTGTTTGATCCTTAATAAATTGGCAAGTCATTTACACAGTAGAACAGTGCAGATATGAGATAACAAGAGGATGAATCATCAGTTAATTAGAAATATGGCTTTTTTTTTTTTTTTTTTTTTTTTTAGTTTTGTGCATGCTCTGTGATGGTGGGAACCCACTGTTGATGTTGATCAGTCCCTAGTAACAAAACGCTGATGTGTACTTGCCATATGGGCTGTGAGAAACCAGCGTGCTGACCCAGGGGAGCAGCTGAGGCTGATGGACTGGGCTTAGGGACAGGCAGAACAGAAATAAACTCTAGAGTAGCCTGCTGTGGGTAATCAGTGACCTCTATATTCCTGTTTTCCAGCTGCTCTTGTGCTGGAAAAAAGTAATTGTTCTTCTCCAGGAGAGGGAGGTAACAAGCACTAGTGCCACTTTCTGACCTGCTAGGGTTAGCAGGGTTATTAGCAGGGTTATAAAAGCCCTGGGACCAGGGACTGGAACCAAGAGCCACCTGTTCCAAACAGGAGGCCCCCCCAAGTGTGCAGCCCTGTGTGTCTGCAGAGAAGCCAAAGGTAAGCCAAGGGTATGGCACCTGCACTTGCTCCAGTGTGAAATTTGAAACAGTCCAAATGGGTGGGTTGTTTAAGAGCACCCTAGAGCTTTGTGGTGAGAGCTCTCCCCTGCCACCTGGGTATAAATCTCTGCAGGCAGAAAGAACAGGATGTGGGCCTCCCTTTCTCTGGTCCCCACTTCTCCCTGGCTCACACAGCCAGCAGCACCTCCAGGACGCCCAGCAGGGCCCAGTGATACATAAATCCAGCTTTCCTTGGCTCTCTGATGGGATTCACTCTAAAAGTAGGTCCATACTTTGCCCAAGCTGCAGGGATGGCCAAGGCCCATGGCCAGCACACAGCCTCAGTAGCCCCACGTGGCTCTATGCTGCCTCTAAGCACAGTGGAGCCCACAGCAATTTTAAGTTAAACACGGCAGAGCATATGGCAACTTGATGCCACATTCCACAGCCTGGGGTCAGGTCTCATGCATCCCCCCACAGCTTTAGCAGAGCAGGGTATAAAGTGCAGGGAAGCAGTAAAGAGACTTCTCTGTCACTCCAGGCAGATCTGCCCTTTAATAACCAGCACAGCCAGAAACTGTTAGTATCTGCCACCACTTCTGTTAGTGCATAAGGCACTCACATTAGTTCCCCCCCTCATAAGCTTTCTATGGATGTTTGCACCTGATCTTCCTTCTCTCCTGCTTCTTTTTGTCCCAGGAAGTCCCTAGTCTTCTTCCATGGAGCATCACTTGACACCCCACCACCACACACACTTCCTTACAAGTTATCAGTATCCTGGTGTTATCCTGGTGTCCTGCTACCCACTTTAAACCCCACATAGTGAACTGTTTCCAAACAATGCAACCAATTCTCAGCAACAGAAAAAGTGTGCAAGTTATGCAGATCACATAACCTGCAGTGTCTTCATCCAGCACTGTGGTCCTCAAGCTTTTCAAAGCCACTCTTCCTCTTTTTTAAAAGTTTCATTTCCCCTTCTCATTTTCCTGGTTTCTACCTGACAAAAGCTCTATTCACTCTCTAGCTTATCTCAAGCCCCCAGAGCTCAAACACGAGGTTTCAGTTTTTTCACAGTATGAAACAGTTTGTATGACCAATTTTCTTCTCCGAACATTTACATTTTAATTTTTCAGTAAAAACTGAATCTCAAACTATTTGTTAGCTCAAAGAATAAACTACATTCATCTTGGAGCTGAAGAGGATGGACAACTTTTGGATGGGGCAGTTGATACTAGCACATCCTAGCACAACAGCAGGGTATTTCTGTGGCTCTCACCTATTGTCCTCCAGTTACAGGATGTATTCTGATACTCCCCTGAGAGAAAGCCATTGCTTTAGTAAAGGAAGGAAAAAAATAACCAGGACAACAGTCTTATTCTCCACATCACCCAAACAACTAACAGAGTTTATTTCTAAAACATCTGGAATCCCATATTTGACAAAGTTGCAGACAGATGGAGCTTTCAGAACCAGGTTGACACTGAGGGAAACTTAAAACACTTTTGCTGGCAGAGGTACAGCAGAGAGGTGTTGAATTCCCTGCCAGACGGAGCTGTCATTCACCAACCCCCGGTGGAGCTGGTGATAACAGAAAATCTGTGCTTTTCTTGGTAGACATGCTTCACAAGGAGGATCTGGGGAAGGCAAGGAAACTTTGGCAGCAGAGATGTCAGTCTTCCAGCCTGAGAGCATCCTGATTAGGAGCATCTGGTGGGTCTGTGGACCCAGCACTTTCACAATAGCCAAAGCTGCAGGAATATTTTAGCCCTGTCAGCAGGCACAAAAACCAAAAGGGAACTGGTAACTTACATCTCTTGATCTGGTATAAGCAAGTGCACTTACAGCAAAAGATATTCTTTGGATGACCGCAGAATGTAGTTCAAAAATTCTTTGGTTGTTAGACTGCATGAAATTCCCCTTGACTTTTTTTTTCTCCATATGGGTGACAAGTGACAGAGTGATGCGAGAGGCAGAAAAACAAAGCTAGTATAGTGCCAGGAGAGGGGGCATGGTTCCAGGGGAAAGTGGAAACAGCCTTTTCTGCAGAGAAAGCTCAGGCTCCAGCCCCAATCCTTAGCAGGTGCTTCTCCCCACTGCACCACAGCGCTGAGGTCTCAGCTGCATTCACACTGTCTGCAGCAGAACACTGCTTGCCACAGGATTGCCAAGTGGGCTTAATGCTTGTGGGAAGGTTCCTGCTGTCAATCTGAGGTGATACCTCAGGAGGTGAAGGAGAAATAACAGTCTTTTTCTTCTAGGGGAACAGGAGAGGTTGTATCCTTAAACATCTGTCATAGTAGTCCAAATTAAAGTCATTAGAGTGCTGGTTTCCAAAAACTGTAAAGTCAGTCTTGGCAGGATGACTGGTGATCAAGCACCCTTGTTGCAAAAAATTAGACACACACATGTATATATATGTGTGTGTGTGTGTGTGTGTGTGCGCCTTCTTCTGTAGGTATTTTCACTCAAAGTGCCCAGAATGAAGTCTCTTGTCACATAAAGCCATTTTACGGGTCCTGTGCTGGCAGCACAAGAAAAGCTGAGCTATCACTGACACTGCTGACAATGGATTCCCAGCTGAGAAGAATTTTTATTCTCTTAAGCCAGAGAGCCTTTGAGCTATGCTCAATTCTGGTTGTTAAAAAGAAAAAAAAATGGCTCATTTCTGACTAAACACAAAACACATCATCTGAAGGTAGGGGGCAGAAGTTGAACATTGTAGAAAAATAAGAAATAGCCAATATGAAATTGGTAACAATATACCTGCCTGTTATATCATTTATTTGAATAATACTCTGTATTAATATTGAAGCACTTTATCTTGGCATGAATGTATGTACCTTCAGCCACTAAAACCAGAATTCTGTGCTTTCTAATTGTTTCCTGCTCTGTGTTGGTCTAAACAGGACACTTTTGAAAAGGAATAGCAAAAAGAATCACAGAAACTGTGCACCATGAGGAGGTGGATTCTTACCTCTTCAAGTTATCTACTCAGTTGTTTTCATTTACTTAATCAAAATTTTTGACACTTTAGCAGTTAGCCAATTTTCTGTTGTCAGAATTAAAAATAAATTCTAAGTAAATATACATATATTAGGATAGGAAAAAAAAAAAAAAAAAAAAGGTGGCAACAAATAGCAATATATGTAGACCTTCCATAAGGCACAAAAATTTTTTTCTGAGAGAACTATTACTTAGCAGTATTGATGCAGAATTCCAGACAAATAGAAAAATATACAGGAGGCCAGAAAATGCTTTTTTTCTTCAGACTGTCCCTGGTAAACTGTATAAACCCAAATTCTGCTGCACCATCATGCAGTTATCATGATAGAATAAACCAAGTTCTACTTGACATCTAGAGATGATAGGAGAAGCACCAAAAGAGGAAGAAAGGCCCATGCTTCCTTTTTTCCTGCAAAGAATTCCCAGCTCACCAGAGATGGATTGCAAAAGGAAAGACAAAGGTGCCAAGAAGGCATTGTCTCAGCACTGAAGTTACATATAATTTCATTATGATACAAGGTTGGACAAAACTGAACTGTTCTATCTGTCCAGGCTCTGGGCAGAGTCCCCAGGAGCACAGATTCCAGCTGAGGCAGAGGAAGTGATAATACCACATGGAAGAGGGAGAAAGAAGCACATTGCTCCATTCACAATGGGCTTTCCATAAACACTGTTAGATTACAAAGCGAATAATTTATAGCAAATGCACAGAAATTTTCTAATGAAGTGGTCTTACTATGAAAAGGAGAAAATAAAAAGACCCCATCAAATATTAAATGTTCTTGGGTGCATATTTTCCTGAATTTGGCAAGGGAAATTTTTAAGAATAATCTTTGCTAAAAATTAATGGAGAAAATCCCTGATTTCATCATGTACTGTTTGGGTTAGGAGGAAGTGCTTGCAATGATGTTTTCAAGTTGCAGTTCATAATTTTTGATTCTGGCTGAGCTGATGTTAGAAAAAGTCCGCAGTTCTGATAGAAAGAGGTAACAAAGGCTTGGGTCAGCTTATCCAGGCACAAATTAGTTTGTAACTGTTCCTTGGTTAAACGTATAATCCTTTGAAGTTAAGAATCAAGTAGGAATTTGCAGGATTTCCCTTGTGTAAACAGATGGAGGAAATCAGAAGGAATTTTTCTGTCCCTCTGAAAGAAGAACCAAATGACTGTCCAAATGAGTTTTAAATAACACTTATTGCAAATAGCTGGAAACAGCCACAGCCCAGCTTGAGAGATAGAAGTTGTCTTTCTCCGAAACAAGCAGGTTCTCCATTATAAACTTCTTTGGGTGGGGGGAGGTGGGGGGAGCAAAAAAACTTTGGTTCACAACATTGTTTTGCATAGGAATTCAAGTAGATCTTCCAAAGCTACCAGCTTGTCCAGGCTAGTAACGAAATACCCATGGCTCTCTCCTCAGTAGTGGACACTCCTCTTTGGTATCCTGTTCTGTAAGGCAGACGTCTTGCACAGGTGATGGAGTCACACAGATGCATCTTTGAAAAGGAAGACAGTGTCACTTGTGTTGCCACAAACAAATTCATCCAATTTATTAAGCAACACACTGGAAACCTTTTGGTAAGGGGTGGGGGAGGGAGAAAAGAAAGCATTGCTATGTTCACTATTTGCTAGAAGCAAGTTATTTTGCTCTTGTAGTTATTTGTTAACAGCTGTCAGTAGCTGTGAGAATGTTTGTGATGACAGAAAATTTGGAATGATTGCTTTTTGAGTAATTCTGAGTCACAACAACCAGGGCATTAATAGATTCTTCCAGGTAGACACAGCCCTGTGCCAGAAAATATAAATATTCATTTTGGGAAGCATTCTGGCAGTTACCAAGCATGATACTTACTTGTTGATTGTGTGATGCACGAAACTTTGTAGGATGACCACATGCTTATAACACAAAGTATTGTAGCCAGGAACCCGAAAGTCTGGATGAGAAAATAAACAAACCACAAATACTTATGGAGCATTAGATGACACATATTCCATGCATGTATGGACACTTTTGTATATTCAGTTATACATTCTATGGGATTAACAGACCCAAAAAATAGTGGGTTTTTTTTCACTCATTCTGACAAAAGACTAAAAATCCCAGAAGTTTCTGTAGTATATTAGTATATAGTATAATATTATGTCTTGTCAAAACTGAAAGATAGACTGAAAGCCGTGCACAAGGAGGGAGAAAAACCTGATCAGCAGCATGCAGTGTCAATTTCTAAACTTCTCACTCGGATTCTGCAACAAAGAAAATATTGTTTCCAGTACCTCTGATTACTACTCTTTTACTGCTCCATTCAAACAAGTCTTTCCCTCCTGTCTGCCAAATAAACAAGACAGGTAGGTCTCCTGGTCTGTTTGCACCGTCAGGCGTAAGTTTCTGAAAGTAATTCTTTATTCTGGAGGAGTTGTATTTCAGGTCCTGCTGCTGTGAAAATACTGTCACCCACACTTGGAAGCCATGCCTCTCTATGTAAAGCCTTCCAGCCAGGAGCAGCAGAGAGCACCTGCCAGAAGTCAGCTCAGAGCCTCAGTGAGTTTTAGCTCAGGAGAAATTATCTTGAACAGGGCTCTGTTCACGAGCAGGAAGCGTTGAAAGCCAAAAAGAGGAGTGAAATCTTTTAGGTAATTTCCAGCTGCTACAACAGTCTTTTGTCAGAAGTTAATTGCCTTAATTCCTCATCTAAACACATTAGTTCCTGTGAGTTAAAGCAGAAGCCTTTGGTTTCAACGCTCTGGCAGGACAAATATCAACTTTAGTGGTGAGTTCAGCATCTGACAAACAAAATATTTTTATTGGCAGTGTGTTACAGAACATTCACTGAAATGAGCTAGAAGATCATTCACCCAACCAAGACACAAGTAAGGCAAGTGTGTAAGAAAACAAAGGTACAAGTCATAGATTTCCAATGACCTACTTAATATATATTGCAAGTTTAAAAGTGTCAAGCTTAATAAACAGTCTTACCGCTCCAGCCACAAGTCCAGTTATATTGTAACTCTTGGATGCTGCTACAATTGATCCAATGAGAAGCAGAATTGTACCAATTAAGTAATGAAGAAACTCCTGAAAAGACAAGCACAGCATGCATCAGAAGGGAAACATATCTGCAAAGCATTTTGATATGTCTCAGAAAGAAAGTTGGCAGTTGACTCAAAACCTCAAACTCAGAGGACAAAACAGAGTCAAAAAGGAAAAAACAAGCAAAGCAGAACAAAGCAAAAAACCAAAAACTAAACCGCAGCAATTCACCTTGTCAGTGGATTTTATACCAAATCTCAATTCCTGTTCAAAAAAGAAGTTTGGGTCTACTAATGTTACTGGAATAGGATTTACTTACTGGGTATGGATGCAATCCTTTCAATTCAGCATGGCACATTACTTCATTGCATCAAGTATGCACCTTAAAGAGATGGTTCTGGAGGCAAGAAGGAGCCTTAAGGACATATTTCTCTAGCCTATATGAAATGGCATAGGTGGAAAACCAAATGCTCCTACTTCTGATAATCTTAGGAAGTAAGCACTGGGACCTGCTGCTGCATTTACTAAAAACTTATATCAACCGAGACTGGAAACCACAAGGAAGGGAGGGAAGCCATGAAAAGCACAGCTGCAGTAAAACATGATGCCATGGAGTTTTGTGAGAGAGGACCAAGGCACCACATTTACATTCTTCTCTGATATGATAAATATCAGTCCAGGAGTCAATTCTATCTTGTTACAAGCAGGGGTTATCTGTGGATTTTGATTTTGAATCCTCACAAGGCTTATGACAACGAGTGGAAGTGTTTGCACACTTAGCATTGCCTATTTCTTGTGCATGGTGGGGTGGGGCAGGTGGATATTTGCTTCCTCTATCTGCATTTCACTACCAGCATGAGCCAAGCAAATACAAAGCAGAGGAGAAGAGAGATGCTGTCTCAAACCAGAAGACAGAATATAGTCCCAAAGGAAATTTTCCAAGGAAAGCCCAGAAGATGAACAGTCTACCATACCAGTTTCACTTTGCTCAGGTGTTAAAAAGAGCTGAGGAGGATTTTTCCTGTAAAGTAGGCTCTGTGACCACAAGTTACTTCCCTAATTTGTAAACTTGTTTTGGGTAATCAAAAATCTGAACCCTTGCATTTGCCAGAGTAAATTACATGCATAAGGAGGCTTCTCTGACTAGCCCGTGACGCAGCAGGCAAATGGGACATGCCATTGCCTCCTTAGAGACATCAAATAAAGCAGAGTACACAGGCTGCTACTTTAGAGGGATCCAAGGGATGGGCAAAGCTGCAACAGAGTTATCAAAGGCCACATTAGGTGGAGAACCAATCCCTGGCAGGGCCAGAAGAGTGCCCCTCTGGAGAAATATTTCCAAGCTTTAAAACGTGTCAGCAGTGAACAACCTCTTGAACCACTTCAGCTTTACTGGCTGCAAATCACACCCCTGATTGCAATGTAAAGATCCTGCCAAGAAACTCATCCAAATGCTAGGTGTAGTTTCCCAGACTGTCTCACGTCTTCCTCTTCTGTTCTAAAGATACTTAAATGTGACTGAAAATGAGGTTGTTTGTTTTGTAACAGAGCAGCAATGTTCAAGCATCACATCCTATAAAGCTTTCTGAAGCTGAGCAGCCACAAATTTCAGTGCCTTAAACTCTGGAACGTTGAGGAATAATTAAACACACAACAAAAAAAAACCACCAGAAGCAGCCCATGCAGAGGCAAAAATAGCATAGTCCTGTTACAGCAATACACATAATAAATGCTGCTCTGCAAAACTGTCATTTATTGGCTTACTTCACTCCTTTATTTGAATTCCTGCATCTGTACTATCTCTAGATAAATAAGTACCTTTAGAAACAGATAGTGGTGGCACACATTTGAGAAAAAGTCTAACAATATTTTCAGCTAAAAAGAAAAAGAAAATTAATTTTTTCTCTTTGGTTATAAGTAGATGGATGGACAAACTGTTGTCTTAGATCTGTAGATGACTTACATAAGCTTCCATTAACCGCCACCCAACCAATTCTTGGGTTTAAAAATTCCTCTCTATCTCTCCAGTTGGCTTTCCCCACTCCATTGGTCCTTCTTCAGTGGAACTAACATATGTAAGGGAGGCATGCTCTAAGAGGTTGTTAAAATCCATCGTCCCACCTTAGGATGCAGAACTCTTCTGTTGGGTGACCTAAGCCAGAGCTACTGAGGAAGCTCAGGTCTCACATTTTTGGTGCTGCCTGTTGGTTCTCTGCTAGGATATGAGAGATAGATGTGTATGGGAAATGCAGGAATGAGGCAGGAACATCCTGTAGGATATTCCAGGAATGGGCAGACTGCAGCATCAGGCTGAGGCTACTGTTTTTTGCTGTTAAGTTATCTAAAACCATACAAAAAAAGAGGCACATTTGATTTAAATAGCACAGACTTTATTTTGGGACAGGATGTAGTACATGAATTCTAAAGCTATGATTTGGTCCTTTAGCAGTCCCTGAGCTTCTATAAATGACCTGAGCTAGGACCCATCTGCTGAAGGCTTGATGATCAGTAGCTTCCTTTCGATTGGCTCTTAATAAAATTATTGCCTTCCTTATAGTAAATATAGATTTCTGTCTGTGTAAAGCAGGGCAGAATCAATTCCAAATCAGCTGAAAATCTTACAGTTACACAATCTGCTGAACTGAATGCAAGCAACAAAAGGATCTGCATACCAGGTAAAAAAGAACTGAGTGAAAGACAGCCTGTCTTTGTGAGACAGCACAAGGGAATGGACTGAGAAAGTCCCATCAACCCCCAAGAGAGAAGAGGAAGCCAGGCTTACCGCGAGTGGCCAGCTAACACAAGTCAGCTTCCTGTAGACTCTGAAAATGTGCATGATGTAGAAGAACAAAATCATAACCAAGTCGCACATGGTGACAATCTGAAAGAAGCTGTATGCACTGTAATCTGTCCATTGAGAATTGTTTACGCTGATGAATCCAATCAGCAGTGAGATCTGGAAGACAAAAGGCACATTCAAGGCATTCACTATGGTGCTCAGAGGGTCGTGGAGATGATTTTAAGCACAGCAAAATGGCACTTAGAAACAAAAGACAAATATCTAATGTAAATGAGATGGCCCCAACTAAATGGAGGACAAAGCAATGAGCATGATAATAAGGTTTTATAAATAGCTGATAAACGAACTGAAGCAACCATTAGAACTGGTGAAATGGCCAATGGCTAGAAGGAAAGCAGCAGTTTCAGCCTGAAGAACTCAACTTGAAGATGTCTCCATGTACAACAGAATAGGTCTCAAATAGAGAAATGGAACTGAATGCCTGGAGTTGCACCAGTGATTGAAGCATCTGAATCCCAGAGACTTTCAGAGGGAGTCCACTGGAAGCTGTGAAAATGGAGATGTCCATAAACACATGCACCTTCCCTTTCATTTAGTGACATTTCTCACATGCACAATCAGAGGACCTGAGCTAACAGTTTCACTCTTCCTTTTCTGCCACTTTTAGAGCAAAACTATTAGTGGACTGTAAGACAGTATCAGAGTAAATAATATAAACATTTGGAGGAACTGATTTAATTCACCTCACCCCCAAATCTTTTATAAGTTAACACTGCCACATAAAACTATAAAGCATTACTGTACAACTTCTTTCAGCTGTAGGCTTGCTAAGGACAAAAGCTATTTCTTTTTTTCTTTAATCTAAAGCTACTTATTTATTTTACTAATCTGACTGCTTCCACCAGCCTGGCTAACCTGGATGATCAAAATAAATCTACCAAGAATATACTGAATTATTTCTTATTACAGACTCAGTCAATGCATGCTTTCAGCCACTGTAATTTTTAGTTCATCCAAAGTCAGCCAGAAGCTGTAATGATTCATATTTTAAGTGTTTCTCCTAGACATTAAAAAACTATCTGAGGAAGCCAGCACTTCAAGACTGCACCATCCTTTCCTGCACACTCATCTTCCAAACTCCTAACCAACTGCATTCATTATCAGAATAATTTCCTTAAGATTAAAAGAGAAAAAAACCCCAACCCCAACGCCCAAACAACATAGCTTAGATTCTCCCTAAATGTTAGCCGAGTTCCACCTGCTCAGTTCTAAGTGGACAGGCTAAATATATGCGTGTACAAGGGCAACCAAAAAGTCTGTATGTAAAAACTTTGCAAGGACTTGCCACCTTCATCAAATTCCATCCAAACAGCCACATCAATGTCTTGACAGTGAGCCACCTCAAAACAGTGGCTTCAGAGAAAAAGGTCACTGCTCCTGATTCTTTCCCACACAAGTAGCTAAGCTGTTGTCAGACCTGGTCCAGCTCTATTCCTTTTACTGTGGCAGTCCAAGGAGCTGATATTAGCCCTGTAAGTGAGCCCTGCTCTCTGAATCTTAATGTCAGTTAAGCAGAGTCATCTGACTTAGCCACTGAATAATGGTAACTTAATAATAAAAATAATTTAACCTGAACAATCAGGAGGAGATTATTTACCCTATAATCTAGGAGAACACTCTAAGTGATACAAGACACAGCTAGTATTTTCATAATTTAAAACTAAATTTAGTGAAATTTTATTCAATAGGAAGACTCAACAACAAGTTACAAGCACTGAGCCTTGCTTTTGAATAAAGGTGGGATGAGGATAACAACCTCTAACCACCAAAGGCCAGAAGAAGTTTCCCTTATTTATTTGTCTTCACAATAATCAGTTCCCAGTTTCAATTACACTGTAAAAATCAAGAACGAAGCATTAAATCACAGAAATATTAAATCTGCCCACCGGCTCATTTCATGCATGAATAATTAACTTTAGCAGTTTTTTTTACAGTGTACAAAGGATAAAGAGGAGGACTGGACTCTTGAAGTACAACCACCATCCAAATAATAAAAAGCACTGGAAAAAAACCCCTTAGTTTAAGCTAGACCCAGTTCTTTCAATTTCATGGAAGCATAGCAGTATTTTTCTTTTCAGTTAAAAGGTATAAAAAATTGAGAAGCATAAAGAAGAATGTGAGTCATCCAAGGACAGAAAGTACATCTGAGGTGTCACAATCCTCAGAAATAAGAAGATACATGGTACCAATGAAGAATCTGCTCAACTCCTGACAGGGTAGAACCATGGATTTGAACAAACATGCTTTCTATTTCAACAGTTCTTAATGACTAACACAACTCCAAATCCAATTAGTAAAGATTCTCCCTTATTTGATTTTAGACGTGCCTCAACATACAGATAGAAAGAAACTACTGCATGGCAAGAGATATTTCTTTCAAATATTTACTTTCTTAGCATAAATCCTGCAACATGAGATTTCTAAAGAGTGTCCTCGGTTCATAGGCATGTGCTTCAGTTTCACAGGACAGGTGCAAAGGGGACCCTCTCAACAATTTTATATAAAGCAGTACCCCATCTGCCACACTATATTGCCTGCAGATACAGTCAGAGTTTCAAACTCACCTGTTGAAAAAAGAATGGAAACAAATACAGGTATTAGAGCCACAGAATATCACTTGTTCTTTGAAACTGACAAATATTGAAGTTCCTTCACCAGATACTGGTTTATCATGATATACCAGGTGATGATGACTGCACTGTTTTCCTCCCCTGGGATTCTGGTTTCCAGAGAACTGAGTGATAAAGTGATAAATATGTAACTGTCTGGGATACAGATGAACATCTATCTTAGAAGTCAGTTTGTGGCACAGAGAGAGAGAAATGAATGGCAAAGCACTGAAATGATCAAATGTTATGAGTGTTCTTTATGCATCTGTGCTCAGGGGAGCACAGGTTTATACACCCTGAAAATAAAAACTGGAGGCACAAAAAAAAATCCAAGGCACTGCTATTTCCATTTCAATATACCAGTTCACAGGTCATGACAGCAACACAGATGTAAACCCATAGCCAGCAAGCCAGTGTGACCACAAGTACAGGTCAAGTGATGGTCAGTCTCATGAGAAGATTTCAGTGTGCTCCACAATATACATCTGGGCTCCAGAGCTGCATTACAAAAGGGGTGAGGGACACATTGCAGGGTACTACTATTTAAGTGCTTTCTGGTTTCTGAGAACAAAATAAAGACCATATGCATTAATCAACCCCAAGAAGGGATTTCTGGATTTAAATAAAATTCCACATTTACTCTGTTTCATAAAAGTCACTCAGCTTAAATGAACCCAATTCTTGCCTCTCCTTTGAGCCAGATATTTGAAATGAGTCATGAAGCACGCTTAGGGACACTGGTATAGATCAGGAACTATCTTGCAGTCAGGGCAACGTGAGTTAAAGGCAGTCAGCACTTAGCAGAGAGAAAAAAGACAACAGAGCCTGCAAGACTTTTACAAGAACCTGCATTCTGTTCCCTACTTGGAGCTGAAGATGAGGTAACCACATCCTCACAATCTGCCTCTTGACTGGCACTGACATACCTTCCCAAGCCTAAACTCCATTCTGATTGGAAATTAACTCAGATCTGCCAAAAAGATGAAACATAATTCTTTCTTTTCTGTTGTGGTCTTTTCCTAAAGCAGCTCAGGAAGCTGTTGGTCACTGTCACCACAAAAGTACATGGTTGGCTCATGGTCATCGTGTTGGTCCCCAAGATCCCAAGGTCTTCTCTTGAGTAGTGCTTTCCAACCTCCAGCCTGTACTGGTGCGGGGCTTACCCTCAAATATCTCCAGATACAGGACTTGGCATTTCTCTGTGTGGAACTTGATGAGACTCCTGTCTCCAGACTGCCAAGATCTCTCTCTCTATGGCAGCACACAACCCCCTGCCTCATCAGCCACTCCTCCCAGGTTTTCCATCATCTACAAACTTTCCAGGAGTACACTCTGCATCATCCAGGTCATTAATGAAGATGTAGAACAGTGCCAGTCCCAGTATAGATCCCTGAGGTACACCACTAGTGACTGGCCTTCAAATGGACCTTGTACCACTGATCACAACCCTCTGGGCTGGGTTGTTAATTTTTAAATCCATCACTGCCCACTTATTTAATCCACACCCTGTCAGCTTGTCTGAGGATGTTATGGGAGACTAGAACCTTACCAAGATCAAGGTAAACCACATCCATCACTCTTCCCTTGTCCACCACGCGAGTCACCTCATTACAGAAAGCAGTAAGGCTGGTCAAGCATCATTTCCCCTTTGTAAATCCATGTTGACTACTCCTGATCACCTTCTTGTCCTTCATGTGTTTGGAAATGCTTTCTAAGAGGATTTTCTTCATCATCTCCCAAGGGACTGAGGTGAAGCTGACAAACCTGTAATTCCCTGGATCTTCCTTCCTGCCCGTAGATATTACATCAATCTATTCAGAATGGCACACTTCCCTTTTGTATCTCTCAGGCTACAGAAAATAGGGAAAAACTGGACAAGAAGGGAAAGACTGGATAAGAGGGATACATTCTCCTCCTCTGTGCTATAAAATGCTTCTGGAAGTGTTCCCTTGAAATGCTATTTCTTTTTAAAAATCAGCTGTTTTCCTCCTTGTTTCTTCTTGTCCCTAACAAAGAATGAGCATCTGGAGTCCACTGGTCATTATTACACTCAGTAAAAAACAAAGAAAATGTGTCTCAAGACTTCAAGGAAATTAATGTTCCACTGCAGGAAAATTCAACACCTTCTTAATGAAAGGAGAGGACTCATGCCTTCATATTAAGAAGAAATTATATGCAGAAGGAAGACCCAACTTCCAATTACTCCTAAGGCAAATGCATACTGGAGAAAAGCCCCATGGCATTAGGTCCAGATGCTGTTGTACTCCTGATTTCAGATGCTTTGAATTCCACCTCTAACTCCCCATGCTCACTCTTGGGTGGCTCTAGTCCTGCAAATGCAATTAGGTTACAGAAGAAGCTTGGGTCCAAACACCCTGTCCACACGGGAGTGGGCTGGGCATGACGCTGAGATCCAGAGCAAGCCAGCCACACAACCCTCAGCCTCTCTGCTGGCTGGGTCCTCCTGTGGCTCCCAGTCCTGTCACT